TATTGTCATGGCTCGTAATCGATTTCATCTAAAAGGTGACAAATCTTTAAACGGAAGGCAAGTACGTAAAAACAGTATAAGCGTACCGCAATTTCGAACTTCCCATGTTGTCCCGTTTTGTCTAAGTGGTCTAAAGAGCAGACATCTTTAATATTTAAAATTGTTAGTAATTTTTTAAATTTCATTTAAAGTGTATGATTCAGTTTAAATATTTAAAACTTCATGCAAGAAAAGATACCTATAACAGCAAACGAAGAGTTCATGAAACCTCAGTGGTTTTCTCGTTTCTATGCATCATAAAAACGAACAAATTTTCGATGTTTCAGCATACAAGGTCTCGTTATTTGGTTGGTTTATGGGTATGAACAAAGAGCCTACCACTGTAGGAAACGAAATCTTAATGATATCTTTATCCATACAGGATTATCGCATTTCCCAAACGCCATTGTGAAATAAACTTCATTTGCCGACCTCAACTCATCTTAAGAAAGCTCCTTTAAAATAAAGTAAGCTCAAGCGTTGGTTTTATATAATTTGCGTTCGTTTTCTTACAGAACAAAATAAAATAAACACCATCCTTGTACAAAAAGGGAACAATGTTTAGAAATTTGAAAGGCCTCTATATAGCTGAACGATCTGGTCCGTGTTTCTCTCCTCTACAGTCTTCGCTATGCGCCTTTCAAATTTTTCATACAGCATCCGTCACACATCAAACAGTCAAAATTATTAGGATAACTCGAATTGCGGAGTTCTGGATTTTGTTGAGACCTGTCAAGTCAGCAATTGTTCAACGAACCCTCAGTTTTTCCGATATTTCAGATAGTAGTGTTCATTCAGATATCAGTGTTTTAGAATAGCAGTGTTTTGATAAATATCCAGCATTCATGACCACATGTGGAGGTAGGTGTTTACGTAGATCTGCAATGCAACTCAACTTCGTCATCGTACAGATCAGTTTAACTCTCGCATCACGGGACTCCCGTGGTTGACTAGCGTTTCAATTTCCATGTCCTCCCCCATATCACTGGAGAACGCTACCCCAAGATACTTAAATTTCTCCACCTGCTTTCGATGCACTCCTTTTCTGTAGGACATAATGACGTGTCTGTCAAGAATATTAAAACTAGCTTTGGTCAGGCAAATTTCTGCTCATCGTAAGCAGCAGCGAAGCATTTAAACACACGTGACGAGATCACTTGTGAACAACAGATGACTCTGTCAGACTTTTCCAACGGTGACTTTCTCCATGCTTAGTCTACGCCTGCACAAGTAATCCGTTACCACGGACAGGGGAACAGAAAACACGCTTGTTTGTCAGAGACCAACGCAGGCGCCGGTTTCCTATCATTAATCACTTCACATGTTCCCTGTACTTTCGCAAAAGCGGTCTGTCCAAATAAAGCATTAATACGTACAAGACTGACTGGTCGACTTATACTTACTCATTAGAAATTCAAGAAGCGTCACATCCCAGATGAACGGATACCATATGTCACTGCCATCATGGACGATCTCCTTTTGAATTGCAGTCACGGCCTGTCCATAATCAGTCGGCGTGTACAGTTGACAGAGCAGGGCGACGACCGTGAACAGCCGCAATGAGTTGCAACATTTGATCATGTTCGACACCATCTGGAAGATAAAGTAAAGCGATGACAGTATACTTTTAATTCACGTCCAGTTTCTGCACCTTTGTGTCCAACAAGCTGTCCGAAGGTGGCCTTGAAAAGTAATCGGTGTGCGCAGCCAAGCACTGCATGTAGTACTGCATCGCAGAACTGAAGTCACCGCACACTATTAATAGGGTCAATACAATAATTAAGACCATAAAAAATAAATCATTAAAATAAGATGTTGATCAGGAATAGTTTAAGTCGTGATTATGCACCACAGCGTCTTTTATTGTTTCTACTGTTGATGGCTTTATGAATGGCGTGTTAGAGGGGGGTCGTTTATTATTGCCTTATGTTCTTCTAATCTTTAAGTCAGTCATCAACGGTGAAAATTAAAGAAGTATATGTGCTAAAAATGCAAATGTATGGACCTCCTGTATGGACGACTGGACAGCTGCTGAATATTTACAAAGTTTCCCACATTTCTTCAAGAGTATGTCAACAATTTTTCACTACCACATTATGTTCGTCAGAGGTATGATCTTATTTTCCGGTATTTGTTCTCTCGGCGTTTGGTAATCACATTAAATTGCAATGATAAACATTCTTCTGTCATTGTCGAAATTCATATGGCATATCGCCCGTCCCCTTGCTTGTAGTAGCCCTGGGAAACCTTTAAGACGGCAACTGTTCCATAGTATTTAGGTTGCAATGCACATGGGTTTATCTTTGATATATATGCGTACGGACTGAAACATATGCGTTTGAGTTCGAACACGTTTGCCTAATCCAACGAAGTGATGCTGTTTTCTGCCAATGAACTATGTTAAAATAACGCGGTCCTCATAAACGGTCTCTTCAGGTTTTAGAAGTAAGGGGACAGTGAGCTACGGCATGTAAATCCGCAAAAGTGACACAAAAATGTTAATCACTATAATTTTAACATGATTACCAGACGCCAAAAGAACGATCTGCAAAAAGTGGGATCATATCTCTGATAAAACCTGATATGGTCGTGAAAACCTGATATGTTCGACATACTTGTGAAGAAATATGGGAAAATTTGTAATCGTTCAGCAAGATGGAAGTTAGTCTGCCTTGATGCTCATGCCATCTATTGCCGCAAAGTGTAACTGCATAATTAAGTCATGTATTACCCCATGAATACTAGCGGTACACGTAGTAGACAGATGCATAAGCGAAATACACAATTCAATGAACATAAGTTTGTCATAAATCTGATGGTGAATTATTCTAAGCCAAATGTATTCTTACTATGAGCATGAGTCTTTTTTGAATTACGAATTATCCGGGTACCTTGGTATTAAATTTGTTCATGCCGTATTAAATTTTAAAGAGAAGACGAATTATACCAAAAGTTCGAATGAGAGTTTAAGATTTTACTGAATAAGTATATTTGCCTGAGTTTACTGTATTGGTACATATAACCCACGTAATACGTAACATCCATATGCAGTCTAATAATATTAAGATGTGTCATACATAATATATAAGGTACATATACAATATGTGAAGTACATAAATTATTTCTAGTTTGAAGTTTTGTTTTGAAAAACAAAGTTCTTGACTCATACACTGCCAATACGTGTACAAATAAGTAGATCTCTAATAAAATTAATGTTAAAACTCATCAAATGTTTTCAAAAAGAACCAGCAAACAATGATATGAGGAGATTACCGAATCTGAATTCGGCCATCGTTCTCAGCCACGCCGTGTTGGTAGCATTGACGAGGAACGCGTTTTCAAGACAGGCGGTCATCACCTCTTTCAGGTAATCCTCGGGTATATTCTGAGCGCTTAAGAAAGACGGCAGCACGTCACACCATCATATACATGATTCTTTCAGTACTGCTTACTCTGCGAATGTACTTGGCCACAAAGAATTTCGTTCAGAATATATTTCCGACGCACCGCTTTGACGACAGTTATACAACTTGGCGAAGAATGACAGTAAAATCGTTATAGACGTTTGCTCCTACAGTACGAAAAAGTTAAGCATGCAGAAGTAAAAAAGATCAAAATCTTAAAAACTAAAACTTAAATTTGTTGCTGAAATTATGATGCCTAAATTAGTTCATGATATTTAAGGGAGTACACCGTAAACTTTCGGAAGTTAATAATTAACTTTAATACTACAACAAAATAAAGGCGTACACGATTTTATTTAAAAATGAGTTTGTTGTTTACTCACTACTGACACAACAGACGAACAACGTTCTACAATATCTTAAATTAGACATTTTTACTCCCTTCAGAAGGTCTCCTGGTGCAATGAGGCTCGATAGAACCAGAACACGAAAATCGAAGATAACCCACTCTCTCCTGTCACTGCTCTTGTCGTCACCACTCTGTTTCCGTCGCTCAGTCGAGTTCCTCTATCTCTTATTGCGTCAGTTTTCCTCTCTCCCATTGCGTCTATATCTTTCCATCCCTCTCCGTCTGTTTGTCCGTCTATCAGTCGTGTTTTTCTCATGAACATAATGTTGTGGCATTATTACGTCTGTGCCGCCAGTTATAAATATTTTATTGCTCTATTCTCTGAACCTATATCTACAGCCTGGATCTGGAAATCATTAAATGGCGTAGTATCCTGTTTCCATTCCACGTGATTGCTTGCTCATTTATTTGTCTCAGTAGATGGACTGACGAGTAACCAAGAAAACCAGAATATTGAGGAAGAACCCGCTTTCCCACTCGTCTTAACCTTTCATAAAAATTGTCGTTTACGACGGATCATAACTGTGATGGCTTAACAAGCGATCATAATGTCTGAAGAAACTCAAGAGTAACTCTTCGTAAGCTCATATAACAAATGGTCAAGGAGCAAACAACACGATGATTGAAGTATATTACATTCTTGACATCGTCGTGTAACTGAATTCAGTCTTTGAAACTAGTCCCATCGGCGGAAGACCGACAACACTGAAAAACCTCTTAAAACGGGTGTTTAAAAGGAGAAGAGGACTAGGTATATGACCCAATGAATACTGCGGAAAATGACCACTGAGTGAGAGACCAATGGTACCATGACTGGTTAGCAAAGCAACAGGGTCAGACTTCATGACATGTATCAGTAAAATTTATTAATTAATTACATCTAACAATTACAATGGGTGTGCCTGTTCTTTTGTGTCATGGATGCTCGCGATTCGTTCTGAAGATGGCCAGTGCCATTTGACTAAAACTCTGACATTTAAAGTAATTACCTCAACTATCAGTCGCCTGCTGCGCCCGTCATCATTGCATACTTGCAACTTATTTGAAAAAGGTACTTGCAATGAACATTTTGGCCGTTCACTAGCTGGTCACTACAGGACACGCAAAAGATCTGAGCATTACGTGCAATTCAGTTTTTTTTCACGTAGTGACCGTTATACAATAACTATCCTAAAATAACACTGTTAATGGATTTGTGTATAATTACCTTTTCGTCATTTTCATGATTATTTATTTTAATTTGCAAGGATCTGCGTAAAAACAAAATCCATACATTGGAAATGCAGCCCAAACACAGATACTGCGAGAGAGAGAGAGAGAGAGAGAGAGAGAAAGGGAAGACCAAAGAAAATGCGTCAAGAACAATATGAAACTGCAAGGAGTGATCGAAGGTTTAACAAAAGACCGAAAAATGTAGATTGTCAATATTGGCTCGATTAGCAACCCCTATTAAAGGGAACACGCTAGGGTCAAAAGATTTTTAGATTTTTTTATTATCTTATATCTGCGCTGAAATTT